ACTTCGGTTGTTCTCACCTATGTTCTTCGCTACAGTATGACAACTAAAGTAGATTTTAGTCATTATTACCGTTGTTGATGTTCTTGTTGTTGTTGTTGTTGTGGTGGTGGTGGTGGTGTATTTTTTGTCAGTTTTCGTGTTGATGTAAAATGTACAAAAATCTGACAAACATAAATACTAAAAATATTTTTAAAAGTTAAATAGCAATCAAGGTGAATAAAAATCTTTTTTTTTTCAAAACAAACAAACAGAGCAGAAAATCAACAGGTCTGCCAATCACAAAAAAAAAACAACAACAACAACATACAATTTCATTTATTTATTTATTTATCTAATTGTTGACACATGTTAAATACAAATAAGTCAATTGAGTATTACTTTTATAGAAAACTTATTTTAATATTCTAATACTGAACTGTTAATATCTGTTGAAAGGAAAGTGAGTTCACTTATCTAGCTATAATACTAATACCCCTACTATTACTACTACTAATAATAATAATAGTAATAGTTAAAGAATAGACAATAGCAATATAAATAGAAAGAAATATTATGTGTGCGTGTGAGTTTGGTAAATACATTGATTTTATAATGATAATCATAATCATAAATGTTATCTATGAATTTTAATATCCGGTACAAAGTCTTCAATGTATTTTCTATTCATAAAAATTCAATCATCCAAAATAAAAACCACACATAGATAGTTTCATATAATAATCATTCATTGGTAGATATTATTATTATAATTATGATCAATGTAGGATTTTGGGAGATTATGTTAAATTCAATATATAGACTACAATATACTCAATTCATTATAATAAAGGACAGGAAATACTTTTCGAAGTGTTCATTATTTTCATAGTTGAATGATTTATTAAAATTGATTTATCTTAAAATCAGCTCTTTTTTTTCCCCTTATTTTAACTATTAAATGATAAATGTTAAAAGCGTGCAATATATGAAAATGGAGAAATTAATTATTTTAATGATTGTATATGTATAGTTGACTACTTCAACGATATCATTTACAATGTATAATAGTGTTTTATGATTATTATGATCAAATTTAAATTCAACAATACATGTGAAAACATATAGGTTTAATACCGATGTTAAAACATTTTTGATTTAACTGAAAATAATCATCAGTAGTAGTCAATGAATTAGGTTAATAGTTCATTAACTAATGTGCCATTTTAAACAAATGATTTACTCTATATACATCCTACCTTTAGATTTATATTTTATTAATAATATGTGCTGATTAGTGGACTGGATTCAAGAGGAATATCCTGAAGTTCTAGTGTGAAGCAGTGACCAGTGGAGTTCAACCATGTCTGTTGTGAGATAGTAACTCACAGTTGAAAATGGTGGATGTGTGGTTCAATTTCATGGATTAATTGAAGGTAGACATTAACGCCATTGGATGCCAGCTCAGGTGCTTAGAGATTATGCGTTCTTGCGCGAAACTGATAAGTCCTGAGTTTGAATCTCGTGGGGGCGGGATCGTGGATGTGTATTGCTGAGTAGTTCCATAATAGGATGAAACGGCCATCCAGTGCTTTCAAGTTTTTCATTGTGTTCTAGCTTCAATTAACTCATGATTTTACTATAATATCCACAAAGACTCCTTCTGATACTAAAATAGAATAAAAGTTTGTTAAAATGTAGAGAGATATTTTTGTTGTATTATTCATCTGAAATTATTTCAAGTTTACAATCATTTCGTTTAGAGTTATGATTATATCCAATCACTGTTAAGTGTAGTGCACAAAAAATATAATGCACGACGAAACCTTAGCTCAGATTCCGTGAAAATCCATTCTTTTTTATAGACAATCTAACGCATGTTAATCAAAGAATAGTAAACAGCTAGGACAATAAATGGTTCCTTATATAATGTTGATTAATACTTTCGCTGTGATAGTTATACTATGTAATTATCCTGTCCATGTTTCTGAGGCTTTACTAAGACATATTTATGAAACTAAACTGTAGTGAAATAAACTAAATGTTTACTCATTTTGCTCTTAGAATTGAATTAAGTTATGAATATTATACTCAATTAATCATGAATTACATTTGAACTAGTGTGAATCACCATGTTTTTATGCATGCTTTTATTGTATGCTGCGTATGATAACTAAATTTCAAGTCTGTTTTAAGGTGAAACGTTTTTTTAAGCGTTAATATAAAGTTAATAACAACATAGTAATAAAGAGTTAAACAATTTCCCAATACTACTTACTTTAAGTCATATCCTTAAGAAACTATAACTCAAGAATTTCATAAGTAAAATGACTTTTAAGCAATATAAATTTAAACTAATAGTAAATTCAGGATTTTTCTCCATCATAATCTAATGTTACTTACTTACTTATGCCTGTTACTCCTCGCGAAGGAACATAGGCCGCTCACCAGCATTCTTCATCCAACCCTGTCCTGGCCAATTCTTTCCAAATCCTTCCAGTTGTTATTCATCCTATTCATATCTGATTCTATTTCCCGAAGTGACGTTGATATTGGTTGAAAGTTGTTTTGAGTTCCATATGTTCTTCAATTGTAGGAATGCGTCCCTTGCTTTGCCAATCCTCGTCTTTACGTCTGCATCTGAACCTCCACGTTCATCGATGATGCTTCCCAGGTATGCGAAGGATTCTACATCTTCCAGAGTTTCGCCACCAAGAGTGATTGGATTGCTGTTCTTCGTTTTGAATTTGAGGACCTTGGTTTTCCCCTTGTGTATGTTGAGGCCTACTGATGCAGAGTCTGCTGCTACACTGGCTGTCTTTATCTACATTTTTTCGTGCGCATGTATAGATTCAAAATAAAAAATAGGATGTACCAGACAATACTAAAGCTCTATAAAATAATGTATTGACTTTTACCATATATATATAAAGATAGATAGATAGATATAGATATAGATATGACCTCATATGTCAGATTAAAACAAATAAGATTTATCCAGGTTAATTTAAACAAGATTTTGTTGTCTTTTTTATTTGTTTTGACATATTCCGCCTAATATAATAATGATCATTATTGACACATTCATTAATGCAGTAAACTATGCGGTCATCATCATGTTTATATATATCACATTTAAGAGACATGTATCCACATTTCTTGTTATATAATCATACAAATTCTTAAAATTAAAAAAATATATATCTATTTCAGTCAAAGGATAACTTGAATGAATAAATAAAAATATACACAAAACATTATAATTACCAGTAGGAAAAGCTGATTCTATTATCTATTACTTGGCAAAATCAACGATTGTCATTAAAATATTCTCTTTTATGTTAATGAATATTCATTGTTTATATGTTAGTTACTTACATAAATTTTTTACATTATGTCGTTGAAATAAATTAATAATGCCCTTTTTAAATAGAAATTTAAATGGACTAACAATCTACTTTTAAGAATAATGATGCCGTTTGATAATATAAGCGAAATATTATTATTATTTATAATCTTGTTATTTGCCCCACGGTTATCCCAAATGTTCTAACTTATTTACTTACGCCTGTTACTCCAAATGGAGCATAGACCACTGATCAGCATTCTCCAACTCATTCTGTCCTAGGCCTTCCTTTCTAGTTCTATCCAATTTTTGTTCAGTCTTCCCATGTCTGTCTCCATTTCTCGACGGAACGTATACTTTGGTCTTCCTCTCCTCCTTTGGCCTTGATGATTCCATGTGACGGCTTGCCTTGTGACGCAGTTGGGTGCTTTTCTTAATGTGTGTCCTATCCACTTCCAGTGTTTCTTCCTGATTTCTTCCCCCACTGGAATCTCACTGAATCCCACAGAAAGCATTAACTCCTTCAATATTATAAATACTCCTAACTGGCAAGTTCCATCAAACAGCATACCTATATTCGGAGTATTTTGTTGATTTCTTCTAATTATCTAAACTACTAATATTGTTTGAAATAATTCAAAAGATTCTCAGCAAATCAAACTATAATATCATTTCTACAATGAATTTTCGTAATAAAACTTTTATTGTACCTCCAGCTGATATAAAAATTTAAGAATCAAAATACATGTCGTTTATAGACTATTCTGTCTTACTCAATATTATCAATATTTCTTAGACTAAGATATATATATATAAAGTAGTATTTAGATGGTGGTTGGAGGTAGTCGGCAGAAAACCCTGGACCAACCACCATCTAATCTCACAATAGTGCATGCAGTGTCGAGTCACCTAGACTGGTGGCCACATTGCAACATGGTCGATAGCATTCGATTTGCACTAATAAGGACTAGACACGCATGACATTGATCGCCACCCGGTGATCATGCAATTGTGAAAGTAGTATTTAATTTAATAACTAAATATTAGTTATAAGACTGATCAATTGCATTCTTAAATAACAATGGGAAGATACATCAATAAAACAACATCAAATGAACTAAATATTAATATTTATAATAATTTTCTACTTATTTAAACTTAAACAATTTTTTTAAGAAACGTATTATTTGGTTAACAACCATGAAAATAATTTTTTTAGAACATTACATTCTATTTCCTACATAAATAAATATTATTTTTTATTTTTGTATTTTGTCTCATCTAATGAAAAATCTAGCCATACTTTAATTTGATTGGTTAAAATCTTAATCTTAACTAATAATTTGATTGGTTTAAAATGAATGAATAGATTCACATAAGAAATTAACTACACTGGAGGTAAAAATAATAATTAAAAAATATTAAAATAAAAAAAAATAAATAAAAATAAAAATAAAACAAATAATGAAACAATTATGATATTAGACTTTAATCAATCATTACACTATCAATGATGTTTTATGTATCATTCATTTTTCACTTCAACCAAACTAAGTTATCAATGTATTCTAAACAAACAATCTGAGATAGTTTTGGGTTTTTGTTGGTTTCAACTGAATACTATCGTTATTAGTGAATAGAAAATCTTTAATTTTAACATTTTATATCATTAAACATTATTGAATCATTTATTAATTTTTTTTTCTACAAAACAAACAAACAAACAAACGGGTATATATTTTGAATTCAATACGAATGATATCAAATGAGTAACAATGTGGAGATTTTTGTAAATAATCATAGAGTAAATCAAAAATTTGGAAGTTTAAATTATATAAAATTTGTAAAACATAAAAATAAATTATTATATTATGAAATTCAACCATTGGAACATTTAATAAAACAGAATTCTATTTGGAATATAAATAAAACATTAAGAATATTTACACATTTTATTATATTGATTTATATTTCTGAAAATATTACCACAGTTAATACACAATGGTTTAATTTGGATGTCATTAAATCATATTTAAATATTACAAGTAAGTTAAATTATGTATATGATCTTTTTTCGAATAGATAATAATCATAGAAAGATAAATTAATATTAAGTAGTATAAAGATTTATAGCTGAATATATGAATCCCATTCTTATACATGAATGAAAATAGCTTTATCGAATATTACAGTTGACAAAAATTAAAAGCATTTGTTACGATATAGTCAGTTACTCTGAGAGTTTTAAAATACCTTCAATGTATATAGTAATTTTAGATCAATATATTCTCTTCGATATTCATTGTGTACAATTACTAGTTATCAATGATGGGGTATTATGGTGAATGATCAATGAGTATTGACTTTTATTAATCATCGTAAATGTTATGTCTGTGAAATGGCTTAATTAAATTATGCTTTGTACTGAGACCTCTCATCCTATGACAATACTGATAGCATAAAGACTGGTAATATGGATTTATTTGACATTGAAAAGCAAAATGATATATGAAAATACTGCATTTTCTCCCATTTATTTTCAGTCACATCAGATTAACAGCCAGTTTTTGCGTAATTTGAAATGGGTATTAATTAATATCAATTAATCAATAACTTACTGAGTAAACACATTGATCTTATCATACAATTCAGCATCTATCATTAACAATAGATATTACTAACTGATTGAATAATATTGTTAATGTTTCAAGATATGATTTCACATTACAGATTATTGGGAGAAAAATTAACTTCTTACATCATTCAAACACTAAGTCACTGCTCACCATATTAATAAAACAGTATGTTTCAGTAACACAAAACAACAAATTGTCTAACACTGTAATATTAATTTTAGTTGGAATTGTTTTTGATTGCCATTTTTCAAAGTTGTGTTACTGTTTTTTATCGGTACTGATTTAGTTAAATAAGAAAGATTAGTTCAGCGAAGAGTTCTATTTTCATCAAAAGATAGATAGAGAAATTATAATTGGGAAATGATGGCTCAGCATGATAAGATAAAATGTTGAAATAGAGATGATCATTCCGATTACACTACAGGATGATAATAATTACAATAATATTGATAATAACCTTCGGTTAGATATTGTGACAGTAAGGTTAAATCAACAAAGGTATTTAAAAAATTTTTTATAAAGCAAGGACAGTTTAATAAGCGTTTGATTGTTAATGGCTTAAGTATTCACCAAAAATAGATAGGGAAAATTATCAATGGGGATGGTTGGCTCAGTATGATAAGATAAAATGTTGGAATTGAGATTAAATGCAATCAGAATGATTGTAGAAGCAGAATGAACCAGTTATAGGTAGAGGATTTAAGGGGAAGATGGAAGGTGAAGCAGATGTCTGTAAAGGAAGAAGAGTATGAGAAAGAGAAAAAAAGACTTTAGGACCATGGTAGAAGAAGAAGTTGTACCAGATTCTTTTCTACATACAATTCTGGTTTTTCCAGATGTATGGCTAATGCTTCGGCACTGCAAAAAAGAGGCAGTGTAATTGTCTTTGGAAGACTTCTACTTACCTTGTAGATGAATTTGAACGCAGAGTCTATCTTGATCGATTGACCTGTGTTCACAAGGTGTTTGATTACTGAACCTCATATTGAGCGGTTGTCTCTTCTTTTCAGCCACGCCGGACAATGTTCTTGAATTCTTTTGGATAAAGCACGCATTGAACGACCTATATATTTAGTTCCACATGAGCAGGTAAATTGGTAAATGCATTATGGTCTTAACGTCTTATAAATTTTTTTCGTTTTCTCTTTCTTCACATTTTTCTTCCTATACAGCCATCTGCTTCACCTTTCACCTTCTCTTTTTATCTTCTACTCCAAGGGGTTAATTTCTGTTTCTACGATCATCACGATTACATTTATTCTCAATTTCAACAATTTATCTTATCATACTGAGCCATCCTGTCCCAATGATAATTCCCCTATTTTTGATGAATACTTAAGCCATTACCAATCAAACGATTATTAAACTTTCCTAAAATATCTTTGTTTATTCTAACTCACTGTCACCATGTCTAACCAAAGCTTATTATCAATATTATTGTAATTATTATCATCCTGTAAAACAAGTATATATATATATATATATATATATATATATATATATATATTTGCGATCGTACAGCTTTGAAAATGAATTCGTCGAAAATGGAAGTCTTCGCTGAACTAATCTTTCTTATTTATTGTCTTAATAAATGATTAAATTATCAATGTGTCATAGTTACCAATATCCTTATGAAAAGAAAAAAATTGTTTACTATTCCGTTAATTTGAATATTTACGTAATCTCACAACAGTAAAACAAATTTAAATTTTAAATAAACGGGCTTAGTTTATGTCACAAGTTGCACATACACATAAATGACTAAATAAAATAATTTCAATAGTTAAGATCATAAGTCATTTGAAGCTAGAACATCATGGAAAACCTGAAGGCACTGGAAGGCCGTTTCGTCCTATCGTGAAACTTTTCAGTAATGAGCGTCCACGACCTCACCTCGCAGGATTCGAACCCAGGACCTATGAGTCTCGCGCGCCAGCACTTAACCACTAGACCACTGACATGACCGGCATCCAACAGTGTTAATGTCTATCTCCAACTAATCCACAAATCTGTGCCACACATCCACCATTGTCATCTGTGAGTTACTATCTCATAACCCTTTATCAGACTAATAAAATTAAAAAAACAAAAACATAGCATATTTGATAAACAAATATTTGTAATATTCTTTTAAAGTGTCCATAGTTTATATGACAATAAAAAAAATTAAGTATAGGACAATACTATTAAATTATTATTATTATTTTGTGTGTGTGTGTTTATTTTAATAAATGGAAATTAAATTATTATAAATGTTTTCGATAATAATCATCAATTATTAGTCTATTTTAAAACAATATTATATTACTTAATTCATCGCACGAATTCGATAATCACATATACATATATAAACATATTTGGCACATCATAATACGTTACCTGGTTACGTAAAAATAAAATAAAAATACTTCAATAGATATATGTATGTATAGTTCATGCTTACAGTATGATTGAGTTATGCTAACCGAAAATATAATATAATACTCTAAATAGTGAGAAACTTAACAATATAATAAATATTAAGAAGTTTAATATAATTGTATTTACTTACATAAAATGAAAATGAATAGAAAGTAGTAGTAATACAAAAAGAGAAAACGATATCGAAAAGAATAAATAGTGTCTGTATAATAAATAAATAAACAGGGTCATATCAATGATGAGGGAGTATTCATGTATATATATATATATATATATATATATATATATATATATAGAGAGAGAGAGAGAGAGATTGCTTATTTCTATATTGACGCCCTGAAATTCGTTAAACGTTACTGTACTTATAATTTTTTTTAAAAAATCGATCATAAAAAGACCCATATTTTTTATTTAAAAAATTTTTTTTTATTATAAACAAACTAAAAAATAAAATTAAAAGTATCTTAATTAAGTTGAGACTGTCAATCTTGTTTTATTTACTTATTATTAAATATTTGAATAATGGGTTTAGTCAGACAGCCAGTTGGCTACAATGTAAGACTAGGCACATATATGCATCAGTCCAAGTTGCCATACCTCATTAACACAACAAGATGGACACCACATTCATAAAAGTAGGTAATTCAGTTGTAGTAATATATAAAAGAAAGATTGCAATAAGGATATAGTACAGGAAGAAAGAATTAGTTCGTAGAAAGAAAGATATGAAGTAATTTTAATCTCTTAGTTTAAGGAAAGACAGAGAGTGTATACACCCATGCCATTGTGATGGATTCTCAGCCATGTCGCCCAGAGTCTCCAGCCATTCGATACGATAGTCACGCGGACCCCAACCAAGTAGTCTGCATCTATCAACATGGCTTGGACTAGAAGTTAGTGACTTCAAGGACTGATGCCACGTTTTGGTTTGTCCTCCCTCAGCTTTCTTCCAACCATCCCGAACACCGGTTAGCATTGCACGTCGTGGTAACCGGTGTTCAGGCATACGTAACACGTGGCCCAACCATCTCAGACCATGAAGATTCACAACCTCATCAACTGATTTACCATCATTCCCTAATACCCTGCGTCAAACCTCACTATTACTTACCCGGTGATCTCGGCAGACGCCAGCAATATTTCTAAGACATCTATGGTCAAATACTAAAAGCTTACGAGTATTTTCTACTCTTAATGGCCATGTTTCGCTGCCGTAAATTAAAACAGAACGGACTGCCGCGCAGTATAATGGGTTGATTTTTTTTATATTTTTATATTTAGATATTTGATTTTCTTTGATATAATAGTTAATTTTAATGATTATCAGAAGGGGTTTTGTGGAGATTTTAGAAATTTCACTGATTGTATTATAATGAATTAACCCACTATATTTGAATTACATAAATTGAAGATCAATTCAATTGAAGATCATTTTATCAAATAAGATCGGTTGACAGTTTAGTTGATAATCTCATTGTTTTGATAATTATTTAAATGTTAGAAAATATGTGAAATAATAATATTATATGTATAAGGTTGTAGAAATTGTTAAGTTTTGATTAAGATCATGTATAGAATAATGTAACACCACCATTAAAAACCTGAAAACATCATTCTCAATCAAACTAAACAAACTTCACAACACCGTACTGACAATTATCATGTGCTCACTAGTAACTAACTTAAAGATGAATTTCCTGGAGTTCTAGTGAGAAGCTGTGACCAGTGGAGTTCAACTGTGTCCGGTGTGAGACAGTGACTCACTGAAGACAGTGGAAGATGTGTGGCCCGATTTCCTGGATTGATTGAAGTTAGACATTGACACCGGTAGATGCCGGCCATGTCAGTGGTTTAGAGATTATGCGTTCTTGCGTGAGACCGATATGTCTTGGGTTTGAATCTCGGAAGGGGATCATGGATGCGCTCTGCTGAGTGGTTTCATACTAAAACGTGTCTACCATTCAGTGCCTTCAGGTTTTCAATGATGG